CCCTTAGTAACCTGACAGTAAAGTTCATCTTCCCACCAAAAGCAGCTCCCAGATTGTCCTTGCTCTCTGCAGTAGTTGAGGCCATGAAGGAGCCCATATCAGCATGTTGGTTTTGTGGGGGATCAGCTGAGAAAGTTCTCACAAAGAGATAAGAAATAGCAGAGTGGACCCATGCTACCAACCCAAACCACACATCCTAATGCATAATTAGTTGGAATGTAAAAGCTAAAGTCACCTAATCCAATCAGCAATAATTTTCATTCAAAGAGACATATCCTTTAGATTTTTCTTATTACTTGAGCAGAATAAATGGTTATACTCAACATCCAGGTGTTGAGTTTCCGTTTAGAATTGATGAGGAAACTCAACTCCTCATCCTTAGCTTGTGTTGTGTCGAGGCTTAAATGAGAGCAAGAGGACCTCCCACACTGAGTCTCTGCTCTCCCGACCTCAGCCCCTCAGTGGTGTGCATCTTTCAAGCTCTCTTCTTTGCCTTTAACTTGTTATTTTCCTCCACATTTGTTTTTTTATTCTTCAAATAACCACAATATAAAACTGAAGAATATGTTAAAATATAGGTATTGATTGAATATATGTGCCCTTTCTTATTAATTTTTAAAATAATTTTAAACATTTTCTTTTTGAAATTTTCCATGTCCAGAAGCAAAAATCAGTGACATTTCAGAAATGTCGGTGTTTGGGGCTGGTGGTGGGTTGGCTTTAACCTCTTGTAAATGAATGGCCTTTAAAAAGATTCTCTACTGTCATGTAAAACTTTGTGCTGAGTCTTGAGTGATTTTTTTTCACTTCAGAGCCCAAATTACAGTTTGCCTTGAGATAGGTACATAATCCCTCCATTCACAGTGGCTTTGTGGTGTGTACAATGAAGAAGCGTTAATGTTTGTTTGGGGTAAGGTAGCACTGGACCAGAGGTCTACCCTGCTGGAATGGAATAGCAGGAAGTGTGACAGTATCAGAGATGGGAGGAGATACAGGAACTTCAGGATTCTACGGGAACAGAGATCTAATCTGATCTGGGACTTTGGACTAAGCCCTGGTAGACTAGTCATCCCCTAGATCCTCATGATATCATATGCGATTTAGGCAGCCAAGAGTCTTCATTGAAATGGTGGCTTCTAGGTCACCTGTTCTCATCACAATCATCTTAGACAATTCACATGTCATTTTTCTGTGGTTGTCCATGATATAAGAGACCTATGGAGAAAAACTGTGACTTCTCACATTTGTTCCATTCACTCCTTCATTTAGCCATGCTTCGAGAGCTGACTATGTAGCAGGCACAGTGTTTGTGGTACACAAATGAGTGGATTCCAAGCCTTACTCTTACTGAACTAAGTGTAGTGAGAGACTTATCTGCAAACAAGCAGTTAGGGAGTGTGCTCCACTAGGGTATCCACAGATGCTTTGAGAGTTCAAAGGGGCAGGCCTAGCTGTGGGGGAGGAAGAGAAGAAATTTCTTCAATGGAGGTGAACCTTGATGGCTGAGGAGGCATTGATGGCCTGGCTTGTAGCCCCAGCTCTGCATTTGTACCCACTTGGTTTGCTGACTCGCAGCCAGGTTCCTCATCTCTGACATGGAAAGACAGCAGCCACCTTGTTTGCCTTTGAAGGTGGAAGAAGGTGATAGTGAGATGGCTTGTGAGGACACTCCCCTGTCTGAAGGTTCTTCTGCATGCCACAGCAGTGCATGCTTACAAGATGGTGGGCCTGCCAGGGCTTAGGGTTCAGTGTGTGGCTGTGAACTTCAGATTTGTCCTCATTAGACCAGCATAAGGAAGTCCTTTTGGTCACGACCCCATCTTCTTCTCTGACAATACCATCTGTCATTAGAGTCTGATTAAGGAAAACCCCATTCTTTTCCTTGCTAGCTGTGTGACCTTGTAGAAGTTACTTAATCAGTCTGAGTCCCAGGTTTCTTGTCTGTAAAATAAAGATGATGATAATAGTACATATTTTGTAGAGCGACTGTGAGAATTAAAGGAGATAATTTGTATAGAGTACCTGGTACATAGTGACTACTCTATTATTTGCTGTTTTGGGGACTGGAGGAGTAACCCGGAAAGGGTCACAGAGAATCAGGATAAGGCTCCTGCTTGGTCACTTCTTGTGGCTGGTCCTGCTGTGGTTGGAGTCACTGCTACTCACATAGCGCACTGGGTAGTCGAGAGAGGATGCCCCACTTTATTCTTCTTCTATGTTGTTGGTAGTATAATAAATGAGACCAAATGAATTCTTTATCACTATCGTGTATTCAGAAAATACTGGAATATTATTCAAGCCTTTAAAAGGAGAGAAATTCTGACACACTACACTACAGTAAGGATGAACCTTGAAGACATTATGCTAAGTGAAGTAAGCCAGTCACAAAAAGACAAATACTGTATGATTCCACTTACATGGGTTACCTAGTCAAATTCATAGAGACAGAGTTGAATGATGGATATCAGAGGCCAGGGGGAGAGAAGAATGGGGAGTTGTTTAACGGGTATAGAGTTTCAGTTCTGCAGGATGTAGAGTTCTGGAGATTGATTGCACAACAATGTGAATGTACTTAATACTACTAAACTGTACACTTAAATTTTGTTATGTGTATCTTACCACCATTTTTTTTTTTAGCTTATTAAGCATGTGCCAACTGTCAGGCACCATATTTGGCACAAGGAGAGACAGTATGAATAAAAACAAACATGGCCCCCATCTACCCTTATGGAACTTATAGACTGGTAGGAGAGACACGTGTTAAATGGAGAATGACATTAATGGGCAAAAGTACAGGAACGTATATTACAAAGAGTAGCTCATGGTACCATGAAAACCTACAATACAAGGACTTGACCTTGTCAGGGAGGCCAGGCCAAAGGCAAAGGTGAGCAGGACGAAGGCAAACCATTTTAGGAATGTGCAAAGTGTGTGCCAAGGCTATAAGAAGGGAGAGTTTGAAAAGACAGCGTGGTTGGAATGCAGAAGGTGGAAGAAAGTGTGTTGTGAAAAGTGGCTGGTGAAGATGGAGCAGCCAGACCATACAGCCTTGTTGGCCATATTAAGTTTTATCTGTCTTTCTGAGCAGAGTGGGAAATCTTTGAGGGTTTTGAACTGAGGATGGAAAAATGGACAGAAAAGCAGGTTTGTGTTTTGAAAAGATCAATCTGAAGGAATTTTTTTTTTTTTGAGAAAAAATATTATCAAATACTAAGAGTTGTCTTAATTTTCCACATGGGAAAAATTGAACAAATCTGCTAGGTCAGCGGTCCCCGACCTTTTTGGCACCAGGGACTGGGGCTCCTACGAGAATCTAATGCCTAATGATCTGAGGTGGAGCTGAAGCGGTGATGTTAGTGCTGGGGAGAGGCTGCAAATACAGATGAATCTCCACTAGCTAGCCTGCCGCTCACTTCCTGCTGTGCGGCCTGTTTCCTAACAGGCCACAGACCGGTACTAGTCTGCAGCCCCAGGGTTGGGCACCCCTGCACTAAGTGTTTCTCAGGGTCCCAATTTGGATACAGATGGACACTCATATCCCATAAGTCTTAACAGTTACAGGTTATAATTAAGCTAACAAACTATTATCAATATGTTCTATCTTCCTACCCTCGAAACATGTTTCTGTAACTAAAATGTCTAAAAATATATGTATAACTACGTTTTTTTATGAATAAGAGTCAGCAAAACAACAAAGATGATTGAATTTAACTATAAATGTACTGTCTTGGTATTCTGTTGGGTCAACGAGATGTGTGTGAGTGATAAAATAAAGATTTTATAGTTAAATTATTTTTTTTTCCGTAATTTTTTCTTTATAGAAAAATCACTAATGTTTTAATTAAGGTTTTCATATAATTTGTGTTCTTTTGACAAATATTGTTAGACGACTTTTCTTATTTTGTAACAGCTTTACTAAAATATAATTTGTATACCATACAATTCACACATTTGAAATGTACAACTTGAGTCATTTTAGTTTGAGATAGCTTCTCAATCATTTCAATTTAAAGAAACTTTGCCCTCCAGAGGGCATGCCAACTTGATTTGTTAGCAAAATCCTTAAAGCAGTACTTAGATCGAAAGAAACCATGGATGTAACATACCATGTTTCAAACGTGGTAATAGGCTCTCATACAATAAATTATTTTATCACAGAAAACATTAGAAAATTTTAATTCCATCATATAAATCTCTGTCACTTACACTACAACTTTTACTATCTTTTCAAGCAATATCTCAATCTAATACTATTGTAAAGCCCTGGCATCCAATTTTACACATGTTATGCCTGGACAGCTATACAGATTTAAGAGCAACAAAAATGGTTTGATTCTCTAAACTGTTCCTTGGCTGCCATGTGCAGGTGTTAGAGGACCTCCTGAACCACAAATTGGAATATGAGGAGAAGCAAGAATATAGACACTTGGCACAACTGGGGAGGGTGCTTCATTGTTCAAAGATCAACTGTATCATGTATCTGAAAGGAAGGAATTGACAAGTTTATTAGCTTTTTCTCTTATCCAAGTGTTCTAGCTGCTCACATCCTCTCTGCACTCTGAAGCAGCCCCCATCACTGCCACTGCTGTATTAGTGGTGGCAAAATCCTCAAATGTCTGGCGCTTTCAGACTCAGTTGCCAATTCTTTTGAGGATTCAAGGCAAGAGATGTAGGGGAGCGGTTCCCTGTGGCCTAAACAGTGTTAGTCACAAGAGCCGATGTTTAGGATTACTCCAAGTCACTCAGACTTGCGTGGTGAGGAGGAGGAGAGAGGGAAAGGGATCTTTGAGGGCTTCTGAAGCACAGGGTCCAGGGTAAAAACCCCTCTGCCCAGGGTTTAGGATGGTTCTACCCTGTATCAGCATTCAGCAGGCCTTTTTCCAAGCCCATCCCATCAGCCTGTTAATCGTGACATAGACCAACTCTGCCAGGTGGTCCTTTCTTACTGTGTTCCTTTTGAAGACAGCTGACTGCGTTTTTTGCTTGTTCTGTCTTATTAGGCACTGGTGAAAGTGGCAAGAGCACCTTTATCAAGCAAATGAGAATTATCCATGGGTCTGGTTACAGCGATGAAGACAGAAAGGGGTTCACAAAGCTGGTTTACCAAAACATATTCACTGCCATGCAAGCCATGATCAGAGCCATGGACACCCTGAGGATACAGTATGTGTGTGAACAGAATAAGGTAAAGCGTTTTAGGGGCATTGGCCCTACTTGTGATTGCATGCTTTCCTACTCTGGTTAGCAGATGACTTTGAACAAAAAGATTTACCAAGTGCTTTGGTTAGAGGCCAAAAGAAACTCTTGAGCTAAAACCCTACAGCAGTGTGATGAATTTAGTCTGCCCTGCAGTCTTCTGCAGTTCTGTCACAGTATTGGTGTGGGGCTGCCCCATGTGCAGAGGTTCAGAAATGTGGGCCGTCATTTAGGTTGCTGCTTATTTCAGTCACTGAGAAAAGGAAGATATTTTAATTCCATCATATAAATCTCTATCACTTATACTACATTTTCTCTTTCAGCTAAGATACTCGGTTAATTTTTCATTGGAGCAATGGAGGCCTTGGGTTTACAATGGCCAACTTTTCAAGAATTCCCAGTCTTAGGGAACATTTTCACACATGCCCTGCAGACTTCTCAGAGAAAGCACTGAGTTTTGTTTATTTTGGGAGCTGGCCCTTCTTGGGAATTAAGTAATAGCTTATGAGAGAGGTGCTTATGTCCCAGCTAGCAATGGACTCCGAAAAAGTAATGATATCAAGCTGGCATTGGCTTTCCTATCACCGCGGGTTATTTAAAATACAAATCTGTTTAAGATTATGGGAAAATAATGAGGCAGGGGGGTGGGAGGAGGAGGCAAATAAAATTTTATATGGTATACTGGAATGCAAATCTGTCAGAAAATACTATGTATGAGTTCATTAAGAATATGGATTAGAAATAGAGTTTATTTAAAATAATACCAATTTATAACATGATGTGATGATAAAGAGAAAAATTATGCCTAAGATGAGTCCCTCATGGATCTATTAAAAAGAAATTTGGCTGCTAAAATGCTAGAATTGCACGGGCTTTGGTGTAGACCCCAAGGGCAACTTTATCATGAACTTGTGGCACCCGTATTCATGTATATTTTATATAAATATAAACAAAAGTTTTTGAAGCAATCTGAATTTTTACTCAGTGACTGGATTACATAGAAAAACAGCATGCACCATATTTTAGACTTATTTTTACACTATGTCTGCAAATCATGTCTTTACTACAATTTCCTTGCAGTCTTGAAGAAAAGAAAGAATGTATCTTGCCTACAGCTTTAACCTTCAACAGTGTTATCCTGAAAAATGTGTGTGTATGTTGAAGTGGGTTAGCCTTTACTATATCTGGTGTGAAGTAATGTCAGAGGTGCATATTGAGCCATTGGGAGATTCTAGAGGTGACTGATGATTCCTTTACGGTTTCGAGTACATGAATTACATCGTTCTGAACACGTGCAGTTCTTTTTTAATCACCTTGTACAAAGTATTTTAAAAATTAAGGCCTCTGTGGAAATTTAAGATTAGGAGAAGAGGTATGTCTTGCAGTTCAGTTAATCTATTTTTCTCTGTTGTAAAATGCATTTTGTTTCTCAGTCATAGTGGAGTGACTGGGGAAAGCTTAGAATTTAGGAATGGATTTGTAAACAGACCTATTGGGTAGAAAATGCTTAAGTATAAGTCAGTTCTGCTTACCTTGGCAACGTGTTTGTAAAACCCAATCAAATTTAGTAATCAAGGTCTCTGGGTTTTTGTTTTGTTTTGTTTTTCCTCAAGGTCTTCTAGAGGTACTCTGAGTTTATATTTTAAACAAAAAGGTTTTATGGGGTTCGACATTCCACTACTTTTTTCTTTTCTCTCGATCTTAATTCTTTTTCATAAGGCCACTTCCATTGGTCTGCTCATCTGTGTTGGTTTCCTACAGCTGCTGTACCAAAGTACCTCAAACTGGGGGCTTCAAAGAGAAATTTATTCTTTCACAATTCTGAAGGCTAGAAGTCCAAAATCAAGGTTGAGTGGTTCCAAGTGGAGTCTCTGACGGAGACTGTTCCATGCTTCTCTCCTGACTTCTGGTGGTTGCTGGCAATCTTCGATGTCTTTTTCATTCCCTTCCTCTGTCATCATATCCATTTCTCCCGCTTCCCCCCACCCCCTCCCCAGTGTGTCTCTGCATTCACATGGTATTCTCCTCTGTTTGTGTCTAAATTTTCCTCTTATAAAGACACCAGTCATTGGATTAGGGTCCACCCTAATCCAGGACGACCTTATCATAACTTGATTACATCTGCAAAGATCCTATTTCCAAATAAAGTTACTTCCTGAGGTTGCAGTTTGCATGAATTTCAGGGGGACACTATTCAACCCTGCACAGTCTTCCCTCTGACTCCCCCCATTCATGTCCATCCTACAAGCAAAATACATTCACCCCATTCCAGTATCCCCCAGAGTCTTAACCCATTCCACCATCAACTCTATGTCTCAAATCTAATCTAAATATGAAGTCAAAAGGTCCCAAATCTCATTATTTAAATCATCTAATATAGGTGAGACTGGATATGGTCCATCCTGAGGCAGAATGACCTCTCCTTCCACAGACCTACGAAACTATGAAACAATTCAACTGCACCTCCTCTCTCCTCTCATTTGAGGTATCCGGCTTCATTCTCAAGGCCTTCTTTCTTTCTACTTCAAGTACCTACTTTCGTGCTTCATAAACTCCCTCTTATCCCTCAGATATGTGCCTGGGAAGAAAAACATGCTGAAATAGCTTAAGGAGAGGCAAAGGATTGAGTGGAAAGAACACTGGATTGGTTCCCAAAAATCTGGGCTCTGCTCATGGCTCCCCTGTGGGTCTCAGGCAAGAGTCAGCACACTTATCCTGTAAAGGGCCACAGAGAAAATATTTTTGGCTCTGAGGGCTATCTGGTTTCTGTGGCAACTACTTAGCTCTGCTGTTGCAATGCAAACAGCAGCCATAGGCAATGCATAAATGAATGTGTGGGGCTCACTGGAAACTCTATTTGCAAAATGTAAATGCCATTCTTAACTCATGGGCCATATGAAAACAGGCCACAGGTGGATTTAGTTGCCCACCCTAGTCCTAGGAGAAGCCATGTAACCTCTCTGGTCTTGCATTTCCCTATCTGTTAAATGTAGACCACACGTGCTCTGTCTACTTCATAGGCCAACATGAGCAAAACAAAGTGCTTTACAAATTAAATGGCACTCAAGAAACATGAGGTTAATACCGGGGCAAGTTCAGAAACCAAAAATGGACTCATTGTTTCTTCTGTTACTTGTCTAGGTCATTTTCATCCATTCCTTCTTGTTTTTTCTCTAGTGGGCTAGTCCTGATTCTAAACATGAAACTGTAACAAAGTACCATGCTCACTTAGGCCATAAAATGATAAATTGATTAGTGTTCCAACAGTATTAAGTAATTAGTTTAAGAAGCATAATATATATTAAATTCTTTACAAAGTATCGCATCGCTTAAAACAATTGATTATTTAAGACAGGGATGAACAACCTTCACTAGCTTTTATTTTCACGGTGGCGTGTGTCCTCTCTCCCTCAGTTCTTATTGCTGAGTGTTTATCTGATTTTTTTTCAGAGCTGGAAACACTTTCTTAAATGTATCTAGAAGGAAATGAAAAGTAATTTTAGAGGTTTTTAAAATTTCAATGTTAGTGAGATTATTGTTCTGCTAGGTTGTTGAAAATCTTTGCCTATTATTTGACAGGCTGCTTATGAAAGGAAGTTTATCAGAAATTTAGTTCAGCATTTGATTTTTAACCAAAATGTTCTTTCAATTAAGATATAGCCTTGAATAATCTTTTCTTCTACCTTGCCTGTTTTATTTTTAAAGAAATGATTAATAAGTATTTGTTCACTCTATTGATAGGCCTTAATTTATATGACTGTCTCTCAAGAGCGTTGTATGGGCACAGTTTAGAATTTATGACTTCTTGAACCAATATTACAAAGGCATTTGCTTGGTGGCAGACCTCTTAAATTTGAGTTAGCTTATAACTCATGTTTACTAGTGATGATTTCACCGAAGCCCAAAGAGTTTCATTTTTTGTTGTTGTTGTTGCTTGTAGTGCCTCCAACTTGGAAAATTTTCATTCTAGGCCTGTCCCGCGGTAAAGGAAATCTTTCTGATCCCCTTACAGATTCTGTAGTATCTGCTTGGATGATTTAGATACAGAATTTCTCATTGCGAAAAGACAGCCTGCCTGACTTCTCAAAAGCCTTCTAGTTCTATATTCAGTGATCCCTAGAAAAATTAATTAGGTCTATAGGCCCTCTTAGCAGCACACCCCAGCTTCTTCTCTGATCCCCTTGCTTTTAGGAGCTTTTAGCTACTCTTAGGTCATGTCATATTTGCATGTAACCTACACAAATTTGATTGTAAGGGCTCATCCCAAACACAAAAACATTTTTGAAAGGAGAGTGAATGATTAAACAGTAAGAGGAGTATTTTGCCAGCCATTTCACTCCAAGTACCTCATTTAAGTCAGTGTTTCTAGAAGTGTGAGGTCTTGAAATGCCCTTCAAAGAGCATCTTACTCGTCCATTAGATTTTGCTGAATTCCAAGTCTCAGTTGAGATGGTGGGCTTGGGCCATCTCGCCAACCACAGTTCTTGAAAGGCTGAATTTGGGGGGTTGAATTGCCTCACGAGGCTTCTGCTTGTTCTATTTGAAATTTGCAGGTTGTACATTTGGGTAAGCATACTTTTATCATCAATTCTCTGCAATGTCTTGCGTTTCAGCCCCTTGGACTGCTGAGTTTATCAGACAACAGGACTTCCAAAGCAGTGGTCGGTTTGCAGTCTTGTCTGCACATGGGTATTTTCTGTTGCTGCCCAGGGCACCAACCTTGAAAGCAGGAGCTAAGTATTCTTGGAATGCAGCCTGAGCTTTTGGATTGATGTGTGGAAGCTTCCCAGGTGATTCTGATTAGGCAGCCAAGGTTGAGAACCACTGATATATGTACCTTAATATTGTTTGGAGGTGTTCAGTTTGGATTTGATTAGTCTATCAATCTTTCCATAGTGGGAGGGAGACTTCTGGTAATCTTTCCTATGGAATGATCTAATTAGTCTCCACCCAAAGATAAATTGAGAATGTTTGTTTTGTTCAGCCATG